ATGGAGTTTGTCAGTAAACTGCACTGTCATGCTGCATAGCCTAAATGCTAGCCACTAAAGAGGGAGGAAAAAAAGGGTTAATTTAGGCACAGCTGTATTCCCCATGGGGCCACACAACCCCCTGCCAACTCCCAGAGGCAGAGAAGAAGCAGAGCTGCTTTGGTTTGCTGGTAAAACCACTTTATACAACTGGAACAACTATCAAAAGCCGGCCTGCCTCGCACAGCTCCCACTCCTGAAGACTGGTTACAAAACCTGCTTGCCAAGACCGGACCGTCGCTGTTAGAAAACTGAAATAGGAGGGAAGGCCAGGTACACGGTGTGTGCTTACAGCGCAGCTCTAACTGCACGACAATATTCTATCCAAAAAGTCATCCTTTCCTAAAGAAAATGAAGGCTCAAGGGAAAGGAAATAGTGAATCAGCACTAACTGAGGAGTAACTATTTTGTTTGTGGAATACAGGCTCCCTCTGATGGTCAGACCATAACCTGCATCCATGGAAAATCTGAAAATCCTACGGATTAAACACAAGATTTACTTATTCAGCTCCAGCAACCTCATATAGAATTTACAATCTAATTATTAAAATGAAAGACTAAGCCACGTATCTAATTACCTTTTCCATATTCAATTACTACTTCAGATATTCTGTGGTGGTGCAAAGCACAAGAAGTGAAGTCTCATTTAAAGTCACTAAGTGTATACTTGGGTTTGTGCTCAGGATTTCTACAGAGACTCACTCAGACTGAAACTGAAAGTGATTAAAATACTTCACACAATCCTGACATAACATTTTAGAATAACATTATTTCTGCTGCAAAATTATATGATGCTAATGTCTTTTAAATGCTTTCTGGGGAATAACTAACAAATCAAAGCAAACAGAAAATTTATACTATCTCTGCTTTTTCCTAAAGTCTTGCACATGACAAATTTGTATTTACATTGGTATTACCAGACAAATCCTTAACCATTATAATGATGTAGCACATTCAGAATTTACCAGTTTCAAACAAAATATTTCCACACAATTTATGAAACTAAATTGGGTCTTATATGAAGTAAATTTGAACTTTAAATTTAAATTTTCTCCTTCAATGCCCATGCAGAACACAATGTAATAGGTGAGTTAAATACACATCTCAGTGCAGAAGAAACCACACACAAGCTTAAAATTGCAAAAGGGCAGTTCTGTAACAAACTAAACTCAGTCTTGCTAAAAAACAAACAGCTCAACAATGTCCCAGTGCTGTTCCACAAAGAACAACAGAAATAACAACAGCCTGAACTTCTTTCTGCTAACTTCAGTTTTAAAATGAAAAGTTTCAAGGGACACAAATAATACAAAACTGTTTCACTGTCAAATTGTACCACGAGCCAGAATTAGGTTCCGTCAATGTTTGTATCAAACATGCAACACATTAATGGTATAATGCAGCAAATGACCTCAAAGGCTCAACCGTGTTAAAATGCTTCTTTTCATGCAAAGGAATCTGTCACTGCTAATAGTCACTGTTTCAGGTGCAGGTCCAAAACCACTACATGGTATACAACCACAGAAGTACATATATTTGCTTACAAATACAAATATATAAGGAGTGGAATGATAGGTGAGATAAGCAATCATTTCTATTTAGCTCATTGAGCTGACTTCATAAGTAACAAAAAGCACCTTTACGGCTGTGTAATGGGTTAGATGAAACGTCCAATGCATCCATCCAAAGTGATGACAGGTAACAATTGGTCAGTGAAGTTAAAGTAATAATAATTAAAAAAATCCTTATCCTGTGTTTCCAACGAGTCTGACCCCACCTGACAGTCCGCACCATGGCTGGATTCAATAACCTTAGTAAAAGGCAATGAGCATATGCCAGTTCCCAAACTAAGGCCCATTGAAACAAAGAAAATCACCAGCTTCAAGAAAATGCAGAAGATCGTTACAGAAGAAAACACTCCTATTACTCTCCATATCACTATGTTAAAGATACTAGAAGTCAAATATTTTGATGTGGGTGAGACGGCTCCTTGCAGCTATCTCACTCACCCAAGCAATACTGAAGTATCCATATGGATTGTTCCATTTAATATTACTTTATATCCTCAACTGCATTGCCCTGAAGGACATCAGTGCTTTAACTAATTACTTTGCCGGATTACTTGCAGCAAAGCCCTTTCAATTAAATCTAATGAAGACACACATTGAAATAATTAGTACGTACTCTTTTTTTCTTACTCAATCTTTGTCCATTCCATTCATTTAATTTGCGACTAACCTAAGTTTTTGAAACATACTTGTATAATTTGCAACATCACATGACTACAGATGCAAAAACCTTCTTCTTGTATAGGTATAAATATATGAAAACTAAATTCGCTCTCATAAAGCGTAGGTTACCTGCCATGAAATGACACTAGCCTTTCCAAGAAAGCCAAAAAAGATACTCTGAAATCAACAGCAATTCAGTTTACAGTTATGACAGTCAATAAGGATGTTAAGAGAGGATATCCTGAAATCATACCATTTTCCTCTGGTCATGTTCAGCTTCCTATCCCATTTTAGCATTAAATCCAGATGAAACAGACATCGCTGTGCAAGTCTAGAGACTGAACGACAGCCGTAAGGCCAAGAAACTGCAGCTGACAGAAACAAGTACTAAAATGATAAGGAATGTTTTTACTAAAAAGCAGTAGTAAATAATAAATAATAATAACATGCAATTCAAGTTTTATTATAAGCAAAGAATTTTCACCAGTAGGTATGAGTAAATATTACACTTCACAAAAAAAACAAGTTTTTAAATTTCAGATGGGCAACTGAGACACACAGAAATCAAGTGCTGTATTGTAGCACTTGGAGGAATCAGACCCGATTACTCCTTTCCCCATCACCTTCCCATAAAGATGGGCAAAATTCTGATCTTACTGTGAGTTTGTCTATTATGAGGGAGTGTCTAACCAAAAACAAAAGTTGAAATCTAATCTTATCCTTCATCTGTGCAATTCTGATTAAAATCTGAAGACTTAATTTAAAATAGGAAGAAAATCTACAATAATCTTCATTATTTCTTACAGGTAAAAGATAATGAGCTTGCTGTCTCCAGCAACTTTAATTTGAAGTTCTTAATAACTTCGTATAAGTATTTCAAAACCTTCTGTCATTAACAGAAAACATTCATCTCCTTCATAAGAGATATGGAAAGGAAATTCAGTTTATGAGTTATCTCCTGGCTAATAAAACAGGGAACATACAATATATATTCTGTCATCTTTTAAAAGAAAACTGAAGTCAAATCAAGGATAAGGAAGCATATCTTCCAAAAGAAAGAAATATTATGAAAAATTTCATAAATGAAATATTTGAATTAATTATAATATTATTCAACAGCTGTAGACTCCCTGCAACTTTAAGTACTGTTCTATTTCTACCACAGTGAATTTGAGAAATAATTCTCTCTTAAGAATTTCATAATTTTTAAAAGCATTGCTTCTTAAAAGCATTGCTTAATAACAGCATAACCAATTTAGTAAGAAGAAAAGGTCTCTCAATCTCTTCAATTTGTTTTGCAAAATGCCACTTAAAAATTCTAACCTTTTTAAAATGTGCTTTAGAAACTAAACTAATAAATTGCTAGAAAAAGCAATGTATCAGTACTTTTTTTTCCTATTTTCTCTGTGGACTGCACAAAAGGTAGCGTGACAGCAACAGGCTATTTCACTATTAAAAAATGGTGTGACCTCACATTCCTCAGAGCACAAAAGATAATTCATCAATACTGAAAAACTCTTTCAAAGAGTCTTTCCAAGGAATAGTTGGAATTGCTGGGATAGTTTAAAAGGACACTGATGAATTATAGACATTTCTGTTCTCTGAGACCTTTTTATTTAGCATCTATAAACAACATAGCTTAAAGACCAATTGGTAGACAAATATGAAAATTCAACTCTACTTTGTTTTGGTCTTGCTACTCACCTGATATTTTTACTCCTTTTAATGCATATGTTCCTTTTTTTCCAGCTGGCAAAGACAGTGGTCTTAGCTGCACTGTTGGGACAGAATTGAGAGTTTTGCTATTGAAGAGCACATCTGGGTGCACCTCCACAGCAGCAAGTGCCTGCTACATGTTTTAGGAACTTCAGAATTGCCAGAGAAGCAAGAGGAAGGAATCCTCACGGAGCAGCACACAGAGCACCTCCACAGCTACAAGGAAAATGTCAGGCGAAAGCTGCACAGAAACCAGCTCCCTTCCTCTCACAGATCAGTTATGCTCTTTTCTGATTTCCCCTTCTTGTACCAGCTCTGCAGAAAAGGGCTACATTTGACCTCTATATATGTGTATAAATATATACATGTGCATGTACACATACACACCTGCGTGTATATATATGTGTGTGCATACATATATATATATATATGCACATACACAAACATATACATATGTGGGAGTGATAACTTACAACTAAGTCACTGAGATTTAAGAGTGATGTAAGTGATAAGTAAAGGAAACACAAAACTTAAGACTTCCCTTAGCACACAGTAAGGGAAAGAACATCACTCGGTGTCTCAGAGCTTTGCCCAGCAAGGTGTCATGAATGAGAAACATGAAACATTGCATTAGACAAAATGCATCTGAAGTTACAGCTCTTGGAGTCAGTAAGTATGAATATACAAATCAAAAAGGGTGTAAATATCAGCTGAGAAGCAGCAGATGTTACCTGGACCGAAACAAAGTAGGGGGGAGCTTTAGTATCCATCTACAGATGTGCACTGTGCTAGATATTCAATAAAAAGATCTGAGAGAATGTAACTGTAACTCATCAGTGCCATTTCAACTATTCTGGGAAATCCACCACCTAACCCTTTTAACTGTTAAAGGTAAATTAATGTTTATCAAAGTGGCACTAACATGTTCAGTTTTGTGCTCCATCACCCTGTGGGCCTCAACTTCATAAGGTTGTTGAAAAATCTTTAAAGCACTTAGACTATATGGACAAGTAGTACCTGCTACCTCCGTAAGCACAGCGGTATGATCACTTTCTGCCAGCTTCACAAATCCAACTTCATTTCTGAAGTGGTCAATTCCTCGAAAAGATAAATCCACAGTTTTTCCTTTTAGGAGATCTTCCACCAAATCTTTGCTGTCTGAAAGAGCACCAACTGCTCTGCCAAGAGGAAAGAAAAATATCTATGTGAAAATGAATATTAATACTGTTTACATCCCTATTAATCACTCTATCCAATAATCTCAGACAGCTTTACTAATATCAATCGATTAGCTACTAAAGTATATTCATACTACTCCTTATCAGTGCCATCAGAATTATTTTCACATTTTATAAAGGTAAATAGCTTCATATGCCCCGCCATAAAACCACAGGATCAGTGGGACAGACCAAGAAACGGGTATTATTTCTGAAACTACTGTCAGTCCTCAAAGTGACTAGACATTAAGCATACAGTGTCTCTATTGCTTTGTGCAACCAATTCAAATAAACTGCTTACTAGGAAGCACTTGATCTTCCTCTCCCAAACATCATAGTTTTGTCCATCCTTAATAAAATGACTCAGATCCCTCAGGGACAACAATACAACATGGCTCAATTTGAAGCTTCCAATCATAACGTTTTTGTTCCCCTTTTAAGATTATCCAATTAAAAAAAAAGGTAGACTGAACTTTATTCCTTCTATTAGTTCCACTGGGGAGAAGACATCTTTCCTATTTTTTTCCAATACAGACAAATGTGAATTTATAGGGTGCTGATAAAACTCCCAGCCAGCTATTTTATATTGTACTTGCTTGAAGTCGTGCTGATAAAACTCCCAGCCAGCTATTATATATTTTTATATCCTAACTTCAGTTATATGTATAAATATATATACTTTGTGTCTTCTACAAGCAATCTCTCTCACATACTTGAACCTTTTACATCTGTTTAATGACCCCGAATGTAAAGTTTTTATTTCACTAATTGGATGCTAACTTTGCAGGCGCTAGATGGCAGTAACAGCTTAAAAAATCAGGAGAGTTTTAGTCTTTTCACGGTACCTGAACAAAGCCATGAGCATGATTTCTGATGGTTTTTCTACCACACGAAGCAGGCTAGAATGCATTCTTTACATTTACACATTCATAAGGTATTTTGTGCGGTTTTCCATTGTGTTTATCAGCAGAGTCTTGGATGAGAACTACGTAGTTAACTGCAACTCAGGCCACGCAAGAAAGAAGCAGTGCTGATTATGTGGCAGAAGATCCTTAATTAATGAACTCCGCCCACTCTGTAACTTAATCTACAGCCTAGTAGTATTTAGCTCCCGTAAAGGCATTTTAGGCAACAGTGCAATTACCCGTCCCTGGACAAAGAGCTATTTTCTTGTCAGTGCCTACCCAGGCAGTATTTACAATGCCCAAATAATTTATTCTGACCAAAGCACACACAGATACCCAGCAGTGTTATAGTCAGCATGCTCAGCAGCTACGCTGACCCAAAGGCACGGGAGGAAAGTCTACAAGCATGTTACTCCTAACTGCAGTGAAGAAAGAACAAGAGGGGAAAAAAAACATTCTGCAATCCAGAGCATTGTAGGAGGACTGCAGAAGCAGTGGCTATCGTCTCCTGTACTGCTGCAGCGTAAATAAAATAGCACTTAAAATGTATGCAAGCTCTTTACAGAAACTAGCTGAATTGTTCATTCAGAATTCTTGCTGGAAAAAGCAACCTTACCAAAAAAAAAAAAAAAAAAGGCAAGCTGAATCCTTCCAGCTCCCATATTTGCAATGGAAAGGTCAGACGCACAGCACATGTGGCAGACAGCAAGCAAGATGCACCGCGACACTAACGCCCCGCAACGAAGGGATTATTCACTGCAAAGGCAAGACTCGTTATTTCTACAGCTTGATCCCATGGCTGTGTATGCATTTTATATTAAAACAAACAAGTAAAATACACCTATGCTGTGTTTATACTAGCATAAACTAGAACCTCTTTCTTTGAAGGGAGCGTTGTCCTAATTTCTTGCTTGCTTTTTTTCTCCATCGCACGCTCTATAGTTGCTGCTATACCTAGAATTACATTCAACACTATGTGTAGAACATTCTTTCACACATTTTGACTTCAAATAACCTTCAACACATTTCACTTCTGCATAGATAGAAGTGTTATTGTGCATACACAGCAGAAAAAAATGCGGAAGTAACTAACACATCCAAACTTCAGGATCTGTGAACTCTCATCTCAGATGCCTACTTAACTAAATGAACTTGTTTGAGGGACTACTGTAACCCTACATTATGCACATTTTTTTTGTCAGTCTGGATCTTGGTTTCCTTCCATTCACCTGGTAACAAAAACTTGTGAAACAATGAGGAAAAATCAGCTTTTTACTCTTCAAGTTCTCCCAAAATATTAAGCAGAAATCAATTAGGAAAAAATAAGGATCACAAATAGCAGAAAGTATATTCTGGAATACCTGAGGACAGCCGGGCTAGATGCCTGTAGGGGCAGCTGGCCAGGGAAGGGGCGAAGCACTGGGGAAGCCGCTGCTGCCTAGAGGAGGCTCCCGGGCACCTGGGCTGGCCGTTCTGCTGGGAGAGGCAAGGAGGGCTCCATCAGCAAGAGCAGGGTGACAGGCAGGCAGGGAGAGCCAAAAAGGAGCCCAAGGAGCCAGACGATACTGAATTTGGGGATATTTGTTTTTATATACTGCTTTGGACTCTCTAAAGTATTGGCGAAAGGCATAATGGCCTTCAAGATCTCCTCTCACATCCTCTTCTAAAAATGTTAATGCTCAAACTCCTTCAGAAAGACATCTTGCTGCCACAGCTAGTGGTTGTTCTTGCTAAATTTCAGCTCTCTGGCCAGGGCAGAAAGAAGCTGCCAGGAGAAGACAGCAAGTCCAGCAAATCCAGCATCCTCTGGCATCCTTTCTATTCTCCGCTTCCAGCTACCTGTTTGTCTCTCTTCAGATCAGAGCGTAGAAGGAAGAAGCTGGCAGTCTCCTTGCCAATATCCTCAGTGGAGGGATAAGAGGACAGAGGCACAAAGGATTTAGCACTACCACGTTCAGGGAAATGGGTGTGAAAGACAACCTGGGCAACTGGTATCTAGATATGCTGGCATCTCACTGCTTTTAGCTCTGTAATGTGTTTGGCCACACTACCTCTATTTATTACAGCATGCCTTTGACTACCAAATCGTTCCTACATTCGGACTTTGAGTCTGGCTTTCTCAAGAGCAATCGGTACTTTAACAGCCAAACTTTCTGGGGGAACAAATGATTCATCACACACACTTACTATTAGAGACGTTATTATGCAACTGCATTACGATACCCAGAGCGATGTCTCATGGCAACTATTAATTATTTGACCTAGATAAGTCTGCATGCCTCCTCCTGCAGGGAAAGTCAGCAAGCTATATGATGGAGGGAACCCTAAAAAGAACTAATCCGGGGAGGCGACGAAAAAGTAAGGCTTGTTTCATGGCATTACCAGGATCTGTTGCATTTTGATTCATGGGCAATTCATTACAAAATCAATACATAAGCACTGAAGGAAGCCCAGATGTTCTTTTAATCTCAGCAGACCATTCATCAGCATCTGATTACTGTAACAGAGCGTATTTAGAGTGCTTGCTTTCTCCAACTACAGCATGAGACTACTGAAATGCCACATATGTAGGCCACTGGGCACCGTATCTGCATAGAAGATGCAGGCCTGATTGAAGAAAGCCTGTGGGTGCAGGTGTGTTTTGCATTAAAATGCAATTTATATTTTCAATCCAAATCAAAATTACAGCTAGACATACAAATTATTATTTTGAACATTCATAATTTAGAGCAATACAGATAGGCTTAAAAGAACATTGTATTAACCTTTGAATTGTACATTAGCATAGGCTCATCAGATGGCAATGTAGCACGTGATAAACTGTAAAATACACATTTTTATATAATCAAATAGTTGCATCTAACATTCAAACACATACATGATATGCTCATATATTACATATGTCTTTCCATAACTTTTCTACCTTTTGTATGACCAAGAACTCAGCTCTACCACTGAAGCAATATAAAAATCCTACTTTCAGTTAGGCCTAATAGACACCTCCTTTTTAGTGTACTCATATTTAATTTTGATACACTAAATTCAAGTAGTGTCATAAAAGACCCCTAACCACATGAGGCATTAGCTTGTAGCTAAGGCTTATTTCATTAAAGTCTTTCAGTGACAGTTACTAATATGACCTATAATATTTGCAGAGCTATGAAATTCTGAAAGTTTCCCTAACTGGTAATCTGTTTAATGCCTCCTACATCAAAAGATTGTTTTGAAATAATTACTTCAGCAAACATGAAATTTATGCAAGCAATTTTAGGACACAGTCTGAAAAATGCAAGAAAAAAAGCATGCTTTGTGCAGAGCTCATGGCATTTCAGCATAAGTTAAAAAAGCCAGTAATTGAGACTAGCATTTTAAGAACAATAAATCACTAGAGTTATTGAAGTTTTTATTAATGCTAACAGAAAATAAGCATCATTACCTCTTCTAGTCTTTTTGTGAATTCTGGCAACAAAACCATTTGTATATACTTAGTTTAATGGCAAAATACTTACGTGCTAACTTCTTCCTTACTGGATAAATGCATCACCAGTAGCGTGACATGCAGCGAGCCACAGTGAACCATTGCTTTGGAAAGCCTATGATCCTTCTGTAATATTGTGTCTTGGACAGCCTGAATACCACCAGTAATCTGTGAGGAAAGAAATACACAGAAACAACAGTTAGACACGACAGATAATGCTAGCAAACAAGAAAACACACAAACTGAAATCAAACACTTATTTGGTCACACCGTTCTAGCAGAAGAAGTTTCATCATCTAATGAAGCCTCTAATTGGCTTGAGTAAACTCAAAGTGGGTAGAAATGGGCTGATTAGTAAATAACTTGTCATCTCCCCATCACATCTCAGGAGGAGCTTTTGGCCAGAAGTTTTGCACAAATCAAAGGTTTCTTCGAGGACTTTCTCCATCCATCCTCTCTGCTAAAACTGATGTTTTAGCACTTGATTTACATGCTCTTCATCATTATTCCTATGGTTACACACTTTATAAAGTGTGTCCAAAAGTTTACCATGCTTGCAATTACAACAATCCAATCATAGTTATTCAGAAGAACGTGCAGCGAAGTTTGAGTATAACAGTCAAGAATAAAATAAAACCTAAAAACCTTAACCTTTTAACAGATTCTGTGATTTCTTAAATCAGGGCAAGCAAAGGTATTACAAACAAATCAGTTCAGGTGTATATGAAAGAATCTCTTAAAAATGCTGTAAATATTGTCTTTCATAACATAAGCACAAGTCACTTTCAAGTCAGAAAAGGTCATAATATATTTTAGCAATTCTATTAATCACAGCATACACACGAATTAATTAAAAAAACCCACTAATGGAAACAGGATCTAGATTCTTAGAGACAAGTTTTCCATGAAGAAGTTTTATTTAATGTGCCATACAAATAAAAACAAATTCTAACCGAAAGGGACCAACTCACCAACTATGAAGGGGAAGATGGAAGAAAAGTAAAAACAATTTGCCTAAAAGGCGAATATGGCATCTTCAAAACCAGAAGTGTCTCAGACAGGTCAATGAAAAAAACTGCACCAACACTTTGATCATAAATCATGTAGCAAAAATCATCTTCCTCTATAAGTCAGAATTTACCTGATCCTCAATCCATGACACTTTTGCTATATTCTCAGGCGCAGGAAGAATGTAACCCACACTTAAGCAGACCAATAAACATAAAACCAGCAAATCCAATCCTTATACTTCATATTTACTACATAGATTACTCAAAAAATGCAGTTATTCAGTAAAGAAAAAAACCCTAAATTTCAAAAATGAATCATACGTGATTTTAATTGGAATCTTATTCCATTTTCAACTACTGTTTCTAAATTTAACGTACATGTGCACAGCCTTAGAGCTGGCAGAAGAAACACGGAAGTGCAGGTGCACCAGTCTTCCAAAAGACACCAGACGGGCACTGACAGTTTGGCACCGTGTTATCATACCAATAAAATCATCCTAGCTCCAAAAAATAGACAGGTGCTGGTCAGCTTTGCAGCCTGTGCCTTACAAGCCCCTCTACCACTGAGTTTCCTCTCCATCGTGCTTCCAAGTGCCCTCCTGGTCACATCCTGAGCTGCCTGCTCTGCTCCACTCCAGCTTCGATGAGAAGCAGGACGTGCTATGGGCAACTCGCAGCTACATGGAGCCAACTGGCTAGCAAGGATGCACACATTCATCGCTCGTCTCGCAGGTCTAAGAGAATAACCAGCTGTGTTCCTCACTCCACAAGCCTTGAGCTCAGCAAGCCTGTTCCTTCAAGGCTATCCCTTTCACACAACCACCACTTCCACAAAAACTGTAGGTAATTAGGCCCGCTGGGGTGTCGGTCTGGTTATCCCAGTTTGGACAACAGTTTCAGATGCCATAAATGGGGCCACAACAAGGTCTAAGAGACAGGCAAACTTACAATTGTGTAAGCTCCATCAGGAAACCAAGCTAAAAGCTAACAAATAGCCAAGCTAAAAACTTAACAAATAACTTTGGAACTGCTGGATAGCAACTTCAGTGATAACCTACTGCTGGACGCACCAGAAAAGCATAGAATTAGCTGTTCTTTCATTGATAAAGGCAAAACAGAAAGCAGACAGAAGATGTTTCCCCTCTCTCTCTGTGGGAAAAGGCACAAAATCCTAAACAATCTCCACTATTTTTGAAAAAATGAAAAAGCTCTCAATTGTATTTTTGTGAGCTTTGAGAATTTATTTTTAGTGTGTTCTTCCAGAACTTATGTGAACAAAATGTAATGCACCAGCTGCAGGTGGCCATCACTCTGCCATCCCTACACAGAACTGACCTTCTCCTTCCTTCCGCTAACAAGGTCAAATTAACTGTTCAGGACAATTAACTTTAATTACACAACCCAAGACTCTTCCTACATCTTTGCAATAACTAGTTATGGCCTACTGTTTAAACACATTTAATTGCTATATAACCAGCTATGTACAGTACCTTTCCACTATTTATGTTAAATTTCATTTGAGAATTCATAACTTCAGCAAAAGAAACATCCAAGAGCAGATCACACCCAACTATTCCCTTCTCAGATTGTTTTTAAAATTGCCCCAAAACAAAGACCTGAATACTGATTTTAGGTCACCACCTCACATACTGCTTACAATACGTTATCCTGAAAAATAATAAATTTAGTTTCACTTCTTGCAAGAATACAAAGGCTGTAAAGTTTAAATATTTAACAGATTAACTATACTTCATTGCAATCAAGGCTAAAGAACCATGAAAAAGTAAATCTACAAGCTGATAACACATCAGATGAGACACAATTTAAAAGTAGTTAAAGGAATGATTATAAATGTATCTTTTTACAAAACTAGTAACACAGCGTTTAATAAAAATAATAAATTCAAAATTAATGAACCATCTGAAGATTGAAAACATAGTTAAAATGATAAAAAGAAAAATGCTTAATTTACAGGGACAATTCATATTGCCAGAAATATGAACGACATTACTACAAAATGTTTCTGTATGTAAAACTTAAAGATATTACATCTAACATGATGTAATATCAAGTGCCTAATATAAAATAAAATGAGATCCTCACAAGGGAAAAGTCTTTCATTACTAAATGAAGTACCACTAGTAATTACCAGTCCTCCTCTGGCTATCAGAAAACCAGGTGTTTAAGCCTAAATTTTAGTTAAAGTTGCACATATGCATTCCAATGTGTTTTTTCTACTTTCCCTGCAAGGCAAGTATAAACAGAACATTATAGTGAAGTCTTGGAATCCTCAAATGCTTGTTATTTTACTTCTGTAAATGACAGGAAATGCTAATTACTGAATAAATGGCACATTGAAAAGCATGTGGAGCTACCACTTTTCCACCTATCCAACAATTTAAAATAGTAACTACTGTAAGCAATAATTGTCAATTACCAGAATGTATCTCCCCGACACTATTCTTGCAATAGTTAAATTACGAGAGATGACTAGAGGAAGAGATATTTCAGACTTCTGGTATTTAAGAGCAGCATAAAAATTCTCTCGAGATATCTGGGTCAGGTTCTATGGCAATATTATAAAATCAGCCTCCATAATCTCTTTTTCACATAATATTTTTCAAAGAATCAAAGACTACACTGTAATTTTCAGATCTGGTTTGCTCTTATTTTCATTTCAGATTCTATCTTTTGATTTTCTCACAGAATATTTGCTATAGATGTAGGATATGTTAAAAATTACCTTCTGATAATAATTTATATGATTATTTCAAAATATATATACATTATTATAAAACATAAATCTTTACCAAAGATGCTTTATTCTTATATACAAAACAGGAAAGGGGATGAAGTGAATTTCTCTTCTGAAATGATGTCTCTGTAGTAAAAAGACTATTTAACATATGTTGAGGTAGGTGCACTTAGATCTTGTAGAGGTCAACTACCTCACAGAAAGCAGAAACAACAATTCAGGGAGAAAGGAACCTTTTTTTTTCCTCTGAGCGCTGCAGTTATTTCTGCAGAACGAATTCCAGGATCAGCACTAAAACAGAAATAGCTATTAAAATTAGAATTTTACTGACATTAATAATAAATCCCTAAAACACAACTTCTCCTTCAATAAAACAAAACGAAGAAAACAAAAATATGAATTTACAGTGAAAAAGCAGCTTGGACTGAGATGATTTCTTTTTTCGAAACTATGCAGTCAAGTGAAATTCTCATTTTTTACGTAAAGAGTTTCATAAAGAATAAGAAACTTCAAGAGCTTAGAATGCGTGGCTACACCAGATAAATTCCTACCTCCAAGGAATGCTGAAAATACATGGTAGGGGATTTTCCTGCGTAAATAAAATGAAATGACAAAATAACCAAAACTAGAAACAGACCGTAGAGAAGAAATTTAAACCAAATCAAAATGATGTAAAATCCATAAAGCTGACAATTTAAACTTATTAGAGAAATGTTTTTCTCTAATCGTTTCCAGGTAAACATTTTTATTCCCCCCAAAAGAGTATGTAAATGAAAAGGTCACTATTTGAATATATTGTACTTTCAAAAATACTTGAAAACAATTTATTTTGCTCAAGACTGGACACTGCTTATTATAAATAGAAGCACATGCTGAAATAATTTTGGTTATACTAAATTAATATAATACAGAATATTACCTCTGGATTAGTAATTGGGATAGATATGAAATAATTTGGCCGATACTGTTTTTTCTTTTTCTTCTTTCTCTCAGTGTCTTCTTCATTTTCCCTTCCAGCAGTCCTCTTCCTCTTCTTTTTTATATTTACTTCAGAGGTTGAGCATACTGAAGAGAAAAAAAAAAATAAACTACTGTCAGCACGTGCACAAATCGGAACAAAAATATGCTTAAAATCACGCCAACAAGAGCTGGACTCGTGTCAGCTGATTGGAGAAGATTTTCCTGAGCGGCCGACGTGCCCATGCTCCAAACTGTCCATGTGGGATCCCGCTCCGACTTGAAGGTGACATTGCCATGCGAGCGCAGTGCTGCACCTGAACAGCCTGTACCTCTAAGCAGCTTATTAGCCACCAACATACACACACATTTTCCAAACAACTCCTCGCTTTAAGCAACTCACATTGTAGTGGAATAGGTCCAATACTGTCTATGCTTGAATAGGAATGTGACTTTATGGCAGAAGGGCCAATATTAGCCCAAATACGCACGTGCATACTGCATTCTTAAATATAATGCAAGACAGTAAGTAGGTTGATTAAGGGGAAATGTATATATATATATTAGACTAGGACCGCCCAACCTACAGTTCATGGAGCAAATCCAGTCCAGAAGAAAATTTCATTCAACCCAAACCTACTCTCTAACTCCTCCTTTTGGAAGGAGATCCCTTCCAACATGGGGAAAGAAGAGCGCACTTGCCCAGTTCTTCCAGTGTTCCAGAAATGATTGCCTTCCAGCTTAACCAGTTTATTTCTGCAAGACTTTATAAAATCCATCATTATTATTTGAGAAGCTATACAGTAACATAAACAGGCACATGAGATGCCTCCATCCCGGGACTCATTTCCATGATGGGCCACAGAATGGTAAATTTTAATATGCGCAACTACTTGCAGGGCTGAGCACTAATAACAGATTAGCTCTTGATTCTGTTCTCAGTGGGACTCCATTCCAAATGGACAGCCAACCTGCACATGCCAGCAGGCTGAATCAAGAGTGTGTGTGACATGCACGCTGTGTCATTGGCTTGTTTTTAAACATACTTACTAGCAAATTCATCTTCAATATCTATGTCGACAAATGGCATTTCCATCATCAGAGCATCTACAGGATCAGCAGACGTGCATTCTTCGTTTCTCTGCTGTGTGCTTCTTTCCTTCTCTTCAAATAGTTCATTTTCCAGAACATTTTCCAGATCATCTGTAATATATTTAAAATAACACTGGGCCTTAGACTTCAATATAACCAACTAAGAGATGTTATATGCATGCCAAGTACAAAGTATATGTTTCTCTGTTTGTCAACAAATAAATACTGATATACAGCCCCCTTACAAATGTTACTGTTCTTCCTATCTTAACATATCAGCAAAAATGATTTAACGTTGTGAAAGGTAGGGGGAAAAAAAAAAAGGAATTCAATCTTCTACTTTTGATAACAGATGTTCTTGTTCAGTTCTAACTAAAGGTAAATACATGTAAAAAGACTAACACTGAGTATTTATCTATCACCTAAAATTCACTACAGATAATGACATAAAATTCATTCAATGCTTGTAGGCAAACATTGACAAATTACTTTCAGCATAAACACATAGAAAGTGAGGCTGTGAGGGTGACAGAGCACTGGAACAGGCTGCCCAGAGAGGTTGTGGAGTCTCCTTCTCTGGAGATCTTCAAAACCCACCTGGATGCCACCCTGTGCCACGTGCTCTAGGTGACCCTGCTTGTGTATAGGGTTTGGGCTAGATGATCTCTAGAGGTCCCTTCCAACCTCAACCATTCTGTGATTCTGTGAGGCAAAAAGGGGCAGAAAGGAAAACCTCCTTTTAAACATAAACCAGGGAAGAGATGATTACTCCAGCGCTGTTCTGGGTGATGCACACAGCACATCATGCTACCAACAACAGCGATCTGAACCGGCTGTTCTAAAAACTTAAATTTGAGCATTTCAGCTAAAGAAGGAACCCAAGTAACTTGCAATTCATTTTGCATACACAAGAATTTATAGATATGCTATGGAGCTATCTCAAAGTAATACTACAGTGAAAGAACAGACTGATTAACAAGTTACAGAAAGTTCTTGCCCACATCTTCAAACAGCACTAACTAACATGAGCCAATTCCCATGTCTGCTTCATGTTTCTGGAACAGTAAGCCCTAATATTTGTGTATTAAGTTACACCTTAAAAAATAAAAAAAATACAGTCTCCCTTAGCAGCCTTCCACAAAAGCTCTGCACATAATCAGACATCCAGCAATATTCCTTTGGGACAACTCCACAAAGGAATTACTGTAGTGGAAGCAGCCTTACATCAGAATCCAGTTTATCACAGGGCAGCTCATTACCGCAGACAACAAACTTTCAAAGCTCCCCTTGTGAGCAGCACAGATACTCCAAAACTGGCCCGAGGGGAAAATCAGGCAGCAAAAGTGCATACCGTGTTCTTGGGGCAGGCAGAGCTACGTTACATGTATGAAACCAGTGGCACAGACCCAGTCTGGGCTGTTATCACCCTGGAGAGCGTTTTTTCTTGCAAATATCACTTTGTGCAGGGGAAGGTAATTGATAGAGTAATCTGATTAACAGCTAATTCATTTCAGTCTGAAATGAATGAATGCCAGAGAGGCATAAATCACTCTGTGGTTGTAGCCTAGCACCTGAAGTTATGCCAAAGGTTATTAAAAAGTATTCAGATTGGTTGCTACTTCCCCCGGCAGACACTAAAGAACCATGTGCAACAAAGCGATGTTAAAGCAGCAACATATTTATTGCTTAGCATTTAGATTAAAGCACAGCTCACACAAAACAGATTACAATCCCTTGGTCATTGCTAACCCACCAGCACACAGAAAACAATCTTCCCTTAAAAGACAGCACAGCCCTAAGGCCATGATGAAATCCACAGAACAGACTGACAGAAAAGTCAGCCTAGGGCGGCAAAGTTTCCGGCAAGATTCACAGAAGTAAAATCATGATGAGCTGAAAGCAGAAATCGGCCCCGAGGAGGCTCAACACAATGGCCTGGGTCTGTGCGAGGGCTCAGAGAGGCCCCAGCCCCACGGGCCCCACTGGGGTCCCAGGGCTGAGTCCCTTGCTGGGGACCGCGGAGGGACAGGAACGGGGCGGGAAGGGCATGTGCGGCTGCAGGAGGGCAGGGAACTGGCACCGCTCCTCCTGGCGAGTCCTTACAGAGCAGCACGGTTTGTTTTGGCGGGGTACGTGCTTCGTTCATCTTACCTGCTGATTTTGTCATTTATGTATTTCAAATGAAGGGCATTTCTTTGAGAACAGAATGCGAGATGGGATTTGTTCACACGCAAACAAGTGCAATTTTTGTGTAACCCTCCGCACTGGTAAAATCTAGGTCCGACCCTCACGCAACTGTCACGGCCCCAACCTGGGCCGCACGTCGGCAGGGCACTCCGGGCGCTTTGGCTGCAACCGCATGGCCGGGGCGATGACAAGTAGATTAACTGACAAATAAACAAACAAACCGGGTCCTGCAGGGAGATTTCGGTGGGTTTAGCACGGAACTCGGGCGGGCTGCAGCCGGGCCGCGCCACGGAGGGGAACGGAAAAGCAGGAAGGCCAAGGGGCGGGAGAG